AAAGAGGAGGGATGGAGTGTTAGTGGAGAGCACACTTTGATGGGAGACGGGATTTTAGGTTTTGTGAAACTTCTTCATCTGTATTTTGAAGAGGACATTTGGGGGTGAAGGTGAGTGACAGCCAAACTGTATGAAGTTTTCCTTTTCTTGCTGCAATTAATACCGAGGTTTGGGTTTAAGAAAGTAGCATAGAGGGAAGTGGTGAAAGTTCATAAGGAGCCCTGAGTAGGGCATCTGGTCAGCTCTGCAGTGCAGGTAGTAGCTAGGGGATAAGATCCAAAGGCTGCAGGTCTTCAAGTACATCGCAGGGAGGTTATGTCATGCATATTTATCGGTTACAACAGACCTTTTTAGGGTGTTATCTGGGAAGTACATTTCTCTCCATAGCCACGGGCCAATTACTGCCCATTTTCCATGTTCACGGCAATCTGTAAATGAAAGCTGCAGAGAAGGTTGTTACATCCAGAGGACAAATGTAACTGTGAGCAGGGTTGAAAGGGGAGAAATGAGAAAATCGAAGGATTGTACAGAAAACACACTTCAAGAAATACCTTAGAATGTAGTCTTGTTTAGTGGAGATGGGCCCCGTGTATTTGCAGTTTAATTTGTTATGTGACATTCAACAGCAAAGAGTCAGCACAAAGGTACTTTAAAACCACCTTAGTTTGAATTGTGTGCATTGGTTCAAATAGTTATTTTATTTAAAAAACAAAAACCTGACCTATGAAGTAACTTTCAAATATTATGTGTTGTACCTGACTATAAATGAAACTAGAGTGCACAAGGGCACTTTAATACTCTGGGAGTTGTACTGGAAGGCAAATGAAAGCATGTGAAATTGCACCTGATGTTGTGTTGTTAATTGTTTTTCAAATCTAAAATTCTACGTTAATTATGCTTGATGGGTGGATGTATCGTGTCTGGTCTCAGTTTCTTTGATTCAAGTGTCTAAAGCTGTCACTCAATCTCTATTTGTATGTGTTTGTAATTTCATTTGCTGGTTTTTTGACATTATTGGACTGCAAGGGGTATTGTTAATGTTACATGTGTTTATTTTATAGAGCATTGTATTATGCTATCTACCAACTT